ATCTACATAAACAAATGAAAGAAATATATGAACACTTATCTCAACTTTTAATTTAGATAAAAGTATTCTCGTTTTATACCCGACTGCGAAGGGCAATGTGTTACATTGGGTTAATTTTGCATTCAAAACGTATATAAATAGCAATCAATCCCTTTGGTGCTCAAATCTGCGATAATGAAGAATCGGGAAAACCGGCAGGATACTTACGTTACGACTATATATATTTGTACCGATATATTTTCTGTATTTAAATTAATAAGAAATTGTTACATATTTTCATTTCACTACATTTACAATAAAATCTGGACATATCACATAAAAATTTAAATCCACACCACTTACGCAACGGACGGAATACCTATTCACGTATTCGGAATACCGTACAGTTTTTACAAATTGTCTGCAGGATCGGGACTAGTTGCAAAAACGACTAGGCCGATTGAATCCCCGAAACGCCCGCCTCTGCGGCATCGTAATTTTTTATCGGCAATCCCTCGAGTGCATTTACCCATGGGGGTCTATCTATTAGGTTCCAAACCTTCGATTATAGTCTCTGGTATCCTCTATTAAATAGTTATGCGTGTAATAAATGCATAATTTCGGTTTGAACGATATTTTTGTGGGCCAATATTAATGTAGTAGGAAGCCGTATATATAACAAGCGAGCATGTGTGAAACGAATTCGATGGAATTTTTCCCAAGGGCTAATTATCCCTCAATAGTGAGCTCATATTTGAACAATTGTAGGTCTTACTTCAAGCCAGCGCGGTGCTACATTCGTTTTGAACTTTTTGCGAAAACCGCTCATATGAATAATGGACTGAAACTTTGTGGGCGAGAGTACAGAGTAGGTCCCCTGGAACGACCACGTACGCTGCCAAAAATGGCCGCAGTTATTTCATGGATGATAAACCGAGAGAAAGTTTTGCTAATTTTCGGACGGCCGATTGGTGATTGATCGGTGAAGTTGAATTGTATTAATGGGTCGAATTGAAACTGAGCAAAATGCGGAACTAGTTCGAAAAATTATTAACATTTAAAATATATTTATTTGAAATTGGAGATCTTTTACATTTATATGATTGGGTAGATAGTAATAATTCAGACCATATTATGTCAGATATAGTATTTATTTTGAGTACTATAAAAAAATAGTGCTCAAGATTAAACCCTCAAAAAGTATACAGATCTTCTATACTTTTTGCAAATTAGCAATCAAGTCTAAATTCCCAGACTGAAACTAACCAGATATTTTGTCTGATCAGACTAGTGCCTTTTCAACTAATCTACAGAAAACCTATCAAAACCCTTGAAAACTTCCTAAATTAATTGTTATTTGCATCGCTAATGAATGTATTTCCATAAAAGTAGAAAATAAACAGCGAAACAAATTATTTCGGCTATCCCCTTGAGAAACTATATTTTTTTCTGAGGCCATGATTATTAACCTATAAATGTCCCCGTTGAAGAGGATAGTAAAGTTTTGGTCAATCATCCTATGAATGGCATTTGCTAAAGTTATTTAAACGCAAACCGATCACGCTAGCCCCTACGCCGTCGAGTTCATCATAAACTGTTTTCTGGAAGTAACCGAAGTTTTCTTTAACACAATGTTGGAAATGTCAAATTCGCCAATAATTATTGGTCCAGGAATAGGAAATTTACACCAACTGATGGAATAAATCAGCAGTAGACTATGTAATCATTTTATTGACAATCATTTAAAACGACAGGATAATAAAAATTAAATAAATAATAATAAAGAACAAAGCATAAACGATATGCTAAGCTATCATTGAACATAGATATCTCATGGGGTCAATCAGGACCCTGTCTCACCTTGTACTCCTTCGGTAAGACCCATTGATTGAAGCCTCCATGTATGTGAGCTATCATACATGCGAAGTGTAAGCGGTTTAACGGCACTATCTTATGATTCGCTAGCTTATGACGATTTTGTCTAATCAAGAATTTAATCGTGCATCTGTTATTTATAGTTTTAACGTTATTTGCTCTTATAAAATGTATTTATTTGACATAATTTCCAAAGAATTGGTGCCACCCTCATTGTTTTTAGAATGTTTTTCTTTTTTATATTATCATTACAATATAACTAATAAACATAAACTAGGACTTATCAAATAGTTAACAGCATCTAAGCACATACTCACGTACACCATAAACAGTAATATGCAAAACACGCATTATGTTGCCAACTTTGGCAATCGTATAAAATTTTATTACAGGCTATCTTCGGCCGGCGGCAATTATCCGTTGTACGGTTATGGACAAATTTTGGACCACTTTCGCGGACTACACTGATTTATGACCGGCGATTTTGGTTTCCGTTTGATTGGTAGGAGTTGTTAGGTTTGAAATGGATGTTAAATGTTTACTGGTAAGTAATATTTTCTTTATCTGAACTAGACTAGTTCATGTTTCTCTAAGAGAAAATAATTTTATGAAAATCATAAAATTAAAATGTCCGAATGTTATACTGATGAAAAACACATATTTTCGTCATGCATAATTTTGGTAATTAATCAACTAATCTAATAAATGTAAACTGAGGATATTGTTCTGGCATGCAATACCAACTAATACTCGTTTTAATTAACCGTAAGGACTTTATGATTTCACATAAAAATTTATTAGTTATAAAAATGGTCTATTTCAAAAAATAAGTCTTGCAAGTAAACGACGTCAACTCAAAAAAATTTTTTACTGGACATTCGATTCGAATGGGTCGTGGCTCCATTACAAGACAACAGTAATAAATTAATTGTGATTAGTAGTTATTTCTGGGCTACAAAGAGACTCACCTTATTTAGTCCGTTCCCAAAGTATCCAAAGTTTAACAACACCCATCGTGAAATCCCTTACGAAACTATTATCTAAAGCATTATAATAATTTTATACGCCTTGAGGAATTGTGACCTATAGGATAAGTTACGTCAGGTTATACAATAAAAAATATAACACTGCAATTTGCAAGACGATTACATAACCCGGGACACTTTTAAGGTAGTGAGTCTAAAAAATCTTTCAAGGAGCACACCTCTGGGATTGACGTATTTGATAAATTACTTTCATTGGTACATTTGTCACGGGGCCATCCATCATACTCGCTTGCTCTACAAGGAGATTCTTATCGCGAATCGGGCCAAATTGATCCGGAATCGTTTTCCTAATCGAATACGTATTATGGTGCCCTGATTCGATTATAATAGGTCGAGTGAGATTTGGCAAATTCGATATTTGAAAATTTAGCTGTAATAACATTATTAGGTGTACTAATGAATTTGTGGAATTTGAACTTTCATATGGACAGTAAACAGTTTATCTAAATAATCTAGAATTGATTATGAATATGATTTATTGAAAAGTATATTAATTAATCATGGTCTGGAATAGACAGGTAACGTGATATTCTACATTATCGGTTGCTGTTAACTAAATAAATATGGCGTAACGAAAGCTAGTATGTAATTATCTGTAAAACCCTTTGCTTATATGAAACAATATGGGTTCTATATAAATGATATTCAATATTTATAATCCAACAAACATCCTAACATTAAAATTGATTTTAAAAGAAGTTTCACGAATCCAAAATTATGTGAATAGTAAAGAAAATATTACAGACAATAATCATCTATATATTTAGGCTTAATATTTTAAAGTTCATCCGCAAGCATCAGGTTTGAATAGCATTTTTTATGTTTTATTCTTTTCTATCATTCTTTATCTTGATTTGTTTGAACAAGAGAAATGTAGAGAATTGCATGTGGCAGCATTGGTATTGCTACCGTATCGGGTACTATAGTGTGTGTTGTCGATTTTTCGAAGATAGAACCGATCACCACGACACAGTCTTTAGAGACATCATTTGTTTCCTCGACAATCTTAACTCTTATGCCACTTTATTGGTTTATGTCATCTTTGAAATAATACAGATAACTACTAGTGTCTTTGAGAAATAAGTACCTAAAATTGTTTCATTCGCTAGACAATAATAACACAGTTTACTTGATAATACACTTTATTTGTTATTTTTCCTTTCCTTTTTAAAACATCATCAATTGTTCCTATTAAAAGGATTAATATCCTTACTATAACTTGATACTTTACAGCATATTTTACTTGTATACAATTTCAGATTAGATTCAAAAAGTAATGATATACTTAACAAGTCAATAAACAATAATATTAATTTTAAACTAAACTTCAGTTTCAATCACATTTCCATCTTTGGATGCTTAATAGACTAAATCTACAATTAATCTACTATTTTCTACTCTTCCACTACAAGCTACATTACTTTATTATTTTTTTTTTTCATTTGCACATATTTTTCTATTATGTTGGTACCTCGCTGACGAAGGGAGCTGTTCCCGTCCAAGTAATCTTCGCGTCTTGCCACCTGAGACCACAAAAAACATGAGAATTACTTTAAATGTTATCGGGTGGGGCTTACCTCATCTCTTTGGTGTCATCTTAATCCCTAAGGCACCATTCCTAGTTCAGTCATCCCTTTGACCTTTTCAATATTGTTTTAGTTTTAGGTGGTTCTGGTATTCTCATTACGCAAGCGTTATTTGCACCGAAGAAATAAGAATTTGAGCAATGCAGGAATTGATTTTCAGATTGATCATCGCATCACCAGCCATATTAATATTCAGACCATCCCTACGGGTGGAATCGATTGAATCGAATCGAATAGGGAGAAGGGGTCATGTCCCACCGCGCGGACGAGGCACCTGGGTGGGTATTAATGACTGCAGATACAGCCGGGACCAACGACTTAACGTGCCTTCTGAAGCAAGGAGGAGTTCGAGATAATACATTGTTGGTCGCCCATCCTATGATCGGCCATTGCGAAATTACTTAACGACCGTATCGCAAGCTGAGCGTGCTACCCACGTGCCATCTAGCTCCTCATCAGGTGAAATAATTTTAAATATTAAGCAAAATCAAAGTGACGCAAACATAGGAAGACAAACAAAGTTTGTTTGTCCTGACTAGGTGTTGAAGCTGCCATTCTCACTTAGTATGAATGAGCTTCTCAAGTGGAGTAGCACTGATATCATCATTCCTCATGGAACCGGCTTCATCGTGTGCTCGTGTGTCTACGTTAAGGACGACGTTGCAACCGCCACAAGTGTAATACTGGATATCAAATCTGGAATTAAATTAAATTTAACTTGAATGAATGTTCATGAGCAATGACAGCGATACATAATTATTTTCAAAAGATAAAAATAAAACTGGCCCACTGACTGGTAGATAAAAAAGGATGTAACTTGTCTGGAAGTCGCATCAAGTATATTTCTGATCACAAATAACGTAGTTAAACTTCTCTCTTTCGACATCATATTAAAACAAATTCATACACTAACGTACTGATGTAACAAATTGGGCATGCAACTAACAATCAAACAAATCAGAAGAAATCCACCTGCAAAGTCAATCAAAAAATACTTGAACCGGCGTTGATTGAGACTTCTTATGAAGTCCTCCGTTTTAATCTTTGTTTGTAATACAGTAATGAATTCTTTACATATAAACTTTCAAGATGGAAATAAGGTATGCTATAATTTTCTTATACTTATTTAATTTTGAGCCTCAGACTTTGGTCAAAAATTACCTTAAGCACCTCAGCTAATCCCTTACCTCCTTTCAGCATGATAATTTCTTAAAAGTTCTCTATTGGTGTTGAAAAGTACGCCATAATGTCCAGAACAACTTGTCACCTGAAATAGCCTTTGAGATTATCAAAACAAATCACTGTGATTAAAGTCATTGTTAGGTTAAGTGCGCAATCGATGTTACAAACACTTACAGCGAATAAGAGACCTTCAAATAAGAGTTTATTATGCTACGTTCCAACTTCAATTTAAAAAAAGTCTATAAATTAGTCGTTTAATATTTTTACACTACACAACAATTAACTAAATGAAAGCTAAAATACCTTTATGTAATATAATATTTATACAGCAAATAAATATCTGAACTCATTTCAATTATGGCGTATAAAACTGACTATTTAGTATAGTGAAAATAATTTATATTCTAAAGCAAATATTAATTAATGTGTAATGGAATGAGGTTGAAATAAATTAAAATCTTAATAATTTTTTGCAGAAAAATAAATAAAGTTACCAATCTAACGATGCTTTCATCTCGTACCTTATTTATAACAAACATTGATGAACGTACATTATGTATAACGAGAACGGTTGCTATAAATAAAGTACACTTTGTCACTACACGAGCGATAAAAAACATAATTACCATGTGAATAATTTCATTGATACTAATTATTAGAGAGTGTTTGAATATCAACACTAGGCATATTCTTAAGAGAAATTCATCGAATCAGTAACATTTCCATTTATTATTATTTTTTTCTTTTCCATTTATTTTGGCATCAAACAGTCATTTATTTAAAAAAAATTGTATGATTAAATATACTTTAAATTACAGACCAATAGTACCTAAAAGTTTACATTTTTTATTATATATAAAAAAAACATTCGCCAAAAGAATGATTTCGTATATTTTAACTTTGTCTTGACAAAAAAAGAGAAAAATTTAGAAATATTTGTACCTCAATATTGAGGATATCTTATATATAAATCTTCATACCCAAATTGGTAAAGCAGGCGTCTTCAATCTCGACCCAGGATACTGTTTATTCAAATTATGCTTCCCATTCTCTTCACCACCGTACCAGACCAGTAAACCTACTGGACTGCGCGATAGTATCCCAAATTGTGGCATTGCCTGGTAAATTAAGAATTAATCTTCATTGCCATATGCCAAAAACATCAAAGTGTGCATTAATTGACTATCTGACGTGTTGAATATTTTTGGAATCAAAAGTTGATTTGGCTATTGATTCATAAAATCTGGATTCGGAAGATTATTAACCAAATATTACCAGAAAAATGTTTTAAAATATTATGAATCCTTACATAATGGTCTTCGTCTCCAACATACAAAACTCCATTATGTAGATACGGCGTAGCCCGACCCGTTAGTAGCAACGTAACGACGTTTAAAGAGCCTTCCACATGAGACGAGACAAGGTGTGTGAGCTTGCCGTCTAAGTCTTTCTTGATGCTGAAATGAGAACCATTATATTATTTTTTTAATAAATCAGCCAGTTGCACTTTTCTTTTCACCGTACGCCAGTTGTTCTGCTATGGCACAAGTTAATCAATTTTCGTAAACTATAGTTTGCAAGGAGGTTGACTACAAATTATTGTCTCTTACTAGATTGCGTTAAAAATTCTGTAACAACGAGAAACATATTACAGAAAATCTTATAGACAATTGGTCCAGACACAATTTGCTGATGGTGAATTAAGGATATATTTCTTCTGCATGAAATTAGATAACGATACATAAAAGTTCGTTTACTAATAAATAATTGGCGATGTCATATTTTTGAACGGTTCTTCAGTTGTTCACTCGAAAATTCAATTAACATTAATTAAGAGATCTATGAAATTTACTGCAGATGTTGTTGTTCTTAAATGTTACAGAAAAAGGATCTAACATTACCAAATTTCTTTCATTTTGTTGATTCACGTCTAATGTGGATTCCGCAATGGATTAGGTTTAATGGGATAATAGCTCTTCCTCTGGTCTTACAATTTGCTCTATTTATTTGCCGACCATATTGGTTAAGGCCCGAGGCAAAGATGTCGTGAAGAAAAGGAGAGGGTTATTTGGTCATTATTATAAAATTTAAGATTGCAATATTACGTTCCATAGTAGTTTAATATAATTTCGTAGCTATTTCTAATAAAATTTCATGTACGGAGAAGAAATATGCGTTTATGATTTTGTTTGTTTTGTATACAGTCTAATATTTTCAGCTGTAGCCGAAAGTTGGAATCGTTATCGATGATTTTTAGATAAATAATATACCTTAAACTGCATGTAGAATATACGTATCAATTGAAACAGCATAAAACACACTGTATGTTTATAATATATTAAAAAATATATTGTGCTAGAAGATACTTCAGGTTAATTCATCTATTACACCCGAACTATACTATTCAAATAATCCTAATAGGAATACATAGACATATATAGTCTCTGGGGTAATTACTTTAAGTGCAATAGATTAACAGAATACTTTATTAAAACTACAACTTAAACGTAATGAATAATTTATTCTTATTATTATTCATATATTAACTCAAAACCAAATATTATTATTATTATTATTATTGCGAGTAAACATTTTAGAGTAGTTCAATTTATTGAAATGAATTGAATGAAACGTCAAAAAGCTTACTTTTCACATCCTCTTGAAAGTATAGCTGCATACAGTAGCAAAAGAGCACCAGAACCCTCTTCTGCTTGAAACTATTATAAAAAGATGAATAAAAAAATATTAATTTGTATAAAACGCAGGCAATAGCCGTTCCTTTGAACAAAAGCCCTTCTTTAACTTAACTTATATCAAAAAATCGGCTATGGTCATTCCCGCAATCTGGACACTATATAGATATTAATCTAGATCTATAAATAAATTATTATTATTGTCTCTGACAGTGTGGTTTTTTGTTAAGTTCTTAAATAATTTACATAAGAAATTTTAATATTGTTCCATCACCAAATAATCATAGCATATTCGATTTCTTTAGGATAACTGAATACTTTTATACTTTATTCTATTATTACCTACATTTATTAAAATTCCTCTGACAAAATTTACCAAACACTTACCAAGTACAAATAACGTTTTATAAATATTTGAAGATCATCCAAGTTTTTCATTTCAAAGAAATGCAGCTTGAAAGAAATAAATATTAGTTAATTCACTGCCTCGTCGCTAACTAAATAATAGATCAAATAATTTATTTTACGAGTATCTACACTCAAATCGTAAAAAGTCGAATTACGAATTCAAAGACGATTCTATACACACGCACTTTAAAAACGCGTATACATAAAATTTTAAATAAAACTCTTTAGTCTTTATCTTTTTTTATTAATTAGTCTATGGTTTTAGGCTGAAAATGAAAAAAGGCGCACGCGTGCGCAGTTCGAACTGTGAAAAAATGACGCACGCATAAATTACTTCCTTGTAACTAACCTACTTTGTTTAATTTAAATTCTTCCTATGAGTGAAGATAAAATAGTGTATGAAACTGCATATAATTTAGGCATTAAAACACTCGAGTCAACCTATTATCACTAAACAGACTCTCGTGTTTTAATACCCCTTCTTCTATGACAGTTGCATAAACTACTATATTTTATGAGTTTGAAACTAGAATGACAGATTCACCTCTTCGAGAAACGTTTAAAACGAAATGAGGCCTTACCTTCTCAGTGATACCATCCTGATAGTATTGTGAACTATGTTTTACGTAGACAGTTTCACTGGGCAGAGCAACAATAGCTTTAGGATCCACTCCTGATTGAGGATTGAATCCGCCAGCGCACCGCCATATGACCTCGCTGCAGGCACGCCACATTGCCTCTTCTTGACGTTCTTCAGAAGGTCTTAAATAACTAAAAAATATAAATTTTATAACTGACTTTTATTTCTATAATAAAATGACAATGACAGCATAGACCTCAAATACTTTGTTCTGTAGGCAAGATAGCAGCTTCAAGCGATATCTAACATTATTTATTTATATTGATATCATTGCTATGCCCTTACTAGCAGTAAAACATACGACCATTTTATACACTTGGTGTGATTACATCATCTGAGTTTGAACTGTTCCTAAGTTAATTTTTACAAGTTAAAGAAAAACAACTATCCTGCAGAATTAATGGTGCATTTTGGTTATGCATACCATAATATAACGGCTCTATCAGATGAGTGTAATATCCACTTTCAAATGTCGCAGTTTCACTAGTATATTCTTAAAATACTAATATACCACATCAGGTCAATAAAAATTGAAGAACCCACAAATTGTGAGCATTATTTACAATCACTTATGGCTATGCCAAAATATCGTCTGCAATACAAGGCGTGATTTAAATAAACACGAGGGAATGGTTAGGCCATAAAGTGCACCATTTTGGGTAAAATATTGTCGGATGGTGCATAGTGCAGATTTATGCTAGGGCACGTGTTCATTGGGGAGTTATGATCGGCACTTCAGAGCTATGTTGTCTGCGGATTTGTACCGATTGGGAGCGATGTCGAGGAAAGAGATTTGAACGATAATAATCTCGATGGCACTTTTAAACAGGTATTGAAAAAAATGTAATTGATGAAATCAGCTTGTGAGACAGTTTAAGATAAAACTGAAACGAGTCTATTTGATTTCGTTATACATTACTTATTAATGAGTGATAAGCACTGAAGGAAGGTGAATAGAAGCATTATTTGTGCAAGCAGGGTTGTGTTTTCTGAAGCAAAATTCACACACCAAATAGACATCATATGATTTCTGCGCATTCAAGGTTAATGGTTTAGTACTTGTGATATATTTACTTATGAATTACGTTTATATTAATTAATATTTTAATCACGGTTAACATCTGTGCTAATCTTTTATATAAAATTTCTAATTTATATTTTCTCTTTGTCCTGACTTGATGATATAGCTGGTATTTTAATTGTTTTCTGTTACTTTAACATAATGTGTTGCATTATTTCGAGAAAATAATTGATGAAAGATAATCTTCAAGAGTTTGACTTATAATTTTGAACAATTTCTTGATTTTATCAGAATAAGTTTATTTAATTTGGTGTCCTCATTTTGATAATTATTTAGTTAAATATTCAATTAGCTATCAACTTCAACTACCTTATGATTTATTTTTTAATATAATATTGTTTTTATCGTGTGTTTCAATATTGGTAGTTACCAAAACCAAACTTCGGGAATAGTCCGAAACTTGGGTCGTTTGTTATAGCGAGAAGTATGAGTTTGAAAGCGAACGCTTGTGATTTTTACTCGCTCCCCGCAATATTATTTTTCGCTCAACATAACTAGATAAATGGACGATAAAATAACTGTACAAGTTGCTTTAGGAATATTCTTTGGTATCAATAAGACACAATAGGCATGAGTCGAGCTAGAATATATATTTATTAGGAATTATATGAAGATACTTTGATTTAACTTGAAGCTGTTTTTAGCTTATGTACTACAATATTATTTCCTTTAAGTGTATAGATTACCTTAATTTTTTTTTTTCATCTTTGTATTTGTATTTATGATATTGTTTTCGGATTATATTTTGATGATAAAAATATAGCCATAAAAATAGGCTTCAGAGGTTTTCTGTTCAATCTGTCACTTGATATCAATAATAGAAAAAATCGTGAGTGAAAATTAACAAACTTAGTTAATTGTTCTGCAAATGCTGAGTTAAATCTGGAGTTTTCTAAAAATGAAACCTACTTAAATCGATTTATCGTCCCTAAAAACCCGTGCATAATAAATTTCACGAAAATCGTTGAAGCTATCAGATACACAGGGCCATAATAGTAGCCCCTCATTCAAAGGTGAACTTTAACAATAAGGTGAAAGAATGCAAAAAAAAGCCGAAACAATCGTTTAAAAAAAAATTACATACGTTTCAGGCGGCAAAGCAGACTTATTGTCCTTGGTCTGCGGACGGGAGTCGAACAGGAGCCATTTAATAATGTGAGCTTGTAGTGCTGATAGCAGAGATCTAACGCCGTTCCGCGGCGCAGCTAGACCGTACGCCAGCGGCTGGTTCGGAGGCCTCATTACTAGAGGTGTTCGAACCCATTCGCCGCGTGGGGGACATGCAGCAGTACCGAAAGAGATCAGGCGAAGTTCCTAAAGCAAATAATAATGAATTTTTAAGTAAAATAATCAGATATTTTAATATCAAACTGAAAAGGTTTGCTTAAGAATAGTATCGGGCAATAATATGGATAATACGGATATATTATAACAATATTATTATTATGTTATTTTTGGTAAAATAGGAATCGATAATGGATATTTTAGTTAATCTTAATTCTGTAATCATTTTAAGAAATTTTTCACATGGAGTATTACATAAATAAGTATATATTAGACAACGTAAATACATTGATCAGATCCCAAATGACTAACTAAATTCCTTGTATTAAGAATTATCTGAGACAGAGAAGGTACTACAACCAAGATAATATGGAAAAGTCCGTTATTTACATTTACGACTGGGAATCAAGTCTAAGACCTCAAATATGGTATCAACTTGAAACCGGCATGCAAACCACTCGGCTACGGAAGAATATATAAATAAAAGGTTACTAAATTAAGGAGTAGCTCGGTGGTGAAGTGGACAAGCGCCGCGGCCCGCGATTGTTATCGTTAAGCAACTTTCGCAAGGGTCGGTCACAAGATGGGTGACCAAAAAATTATTATCTCGAGCTACTCCGTGCTTCGGAAGGCACGTTAAGCCGTTGATCCCGGCTGCATTTGCAGTCGTTAATACCCTTCAATCCGCATTGGACCAGCGTGGAGGGTCATGGCCCATCCTCCTTAACCATCCATAAGGAGGGCTGAGTCCCTGCAGTTGGGACGTAAAAGGGCTGATGATGATGATGAAATTAAGCAACTCCTTTGTAATAAACGTATTTCTTTTATTTATTATTACTTACAACGGCTTCTTCATCTGTAATTGGTTTCCCTCCGGCAACGGGTGGTTTAGAACCGTTGAGGAGCTTACTGCGTGCATACAACACTCTTTCTGCAATTAAACAATGTTTATGATGTTACCTACTAATTCATCTATAATATTATAAGTAGTATAAGTATAGGTCGGCGGTGTAGTGGATAAGCACCGCGGCTCGCGATCGTTGCCTTTAAGCAACTTTTGTGACATGTCGTGTATCTATAGGGGATTTAGGGTCCGAGACTTTGGATACCCGATAGAATTAAAACGCAATTTTGTACTGTTTGCTAGTGGTATTATGTGATAGTAATATAGAGTGCAAAATAAACTCCTCCCATGTTTTATTTGTGTACTTTAAAACTAATATCAGTCGACGTCTTACTGGTTTTCTGCAGACATTATGATCAGAAATGTATGGATAAAAAATGTAAGAAAGGATGACGATTGGAGGCATACACAGTATACAAGGATATGTTCCTTTCAAAGAATCTTGTTTCTGTGAAGGATATGAATCTTTAGTATTACATTCACATTCAGTGGCATCTATACTCACTTAGTTTATATGTTGTACCTAAATGTAAATAAACAAAGAGTTGATATAACATAAAAAACACGTTCTATAATATAATTATTATAATAAATGTATATATCATGAAAGGGATAATGCGAAAGATGTATTTAAGTAACGTACATTGTGGTGTTTGGTTCTCTCTACATACCCCGCAAGTGATACGGCGTGAAGATATATATAAAAACTTAAAGATGACTTTTTGTAATTTAAATTTAATAATAAGGCCGCAAATTGTGCATTTGAATTTATTGTATCCACATGATTGGTGTTAGATATTTTAAATTTATTGTATTTACTTTCTAATATTGTAATGGAAAGTGACTTCATATTCTAATAAAGTCACTTTTAATTAAGACTTCTCTGTGTGAAATAAAACAGGGAGAAAAAAGCAGCCCTAGCTGAGTTTCTTGCCGGTTCTTCTCAATACAAGGTCTCCCGTCGTAGTTTTGCGAACCGATGGCGTAGTTTTAGACCTTCACAAGTGCTCTGTAAAAGCCTAAACTGAATAAATAAATTTTGATTTTGATGAAGTTTTTGTCCATTTATGTACAATAAAGAATTTTCATTCATTCAAAACCGTATTGACGAAGATTCCTTGTATACAGCACGACAAGGAAAGGAAAGCACGACAAACATGAATTTGAATTGAAAAGTCGGTAGGACGCATTCATAAAGCACTGAATAACAATCAAAATAAAAAAATATAATTACATTCCACATAATAATTCCTTTTGGTGCATTTTCTGGCACTCCGCCCGCACTTGGTTGCTTCTGATCGATAGTTGATATTGATGTACATCGCTATGAAAGTTTTAAAATAAAATGGTATAGTCTAAGTCTCCCATCCGATATACTATACCTGTCTCCGTCAAGCATATGACATTTACTTTTTGTGAAAATGAGAAAAACTGTGCTCGTGAGTTTTGTTTAAATGTACTCGATTCTAGATATTTCATCTGAGGTTATGAAGTTATGAATAATATCCTTTTTTTACGAGTACATAGGTTATACTTTTTATATCTTTATGTAAATAAACTCTTTGTAGATGTTGTACTTCAATATATTGTTGATCGAAGATTTTGTATTATGTCTTGAACTCAGATGAAATAATAAATCTATAGTTTTGAAGTTTTATAGTCAGTAAAGTTGTCTTATATACTTTACTCCTTGGTTATCTTGCACCCGAAGCTTGCACCTGATCTTTAAGGTACTTCACCTTTCCTCAGGTTCCCTATTTTTCTTGAGTTATCGATAATACTTATTATATAGTTTTTTATTAAAGTATGTTCACTGATTTCTTCATTGTTACGTCGTGTAAATAAATAAAAATTTCAGGCCTTTCGTTATCAATATACTTATTTATTTTTATAGACATTTAATATTTTTGTCATACCTAAAAAAATATTTATATAAAGTACCTATATACGTATCATTAATGAACAAAAGATTTAGAAAAAAATAGAATCGACTTCAAATTTTAAAAAAAAGTAAAAAATAATACTTATTGGTACCTATCGATATAAAAGCGGTTAATTTTTTCAAGTAACATTGAAAATGTTGAAAAATCTTTTTATTCCACATACGTATTATACAATGATTTTGTCATTAGAGATTATAAAGACATCTTTTGTAAGAAAGTAAAAAAGTATGGAATCTATAATAGCGTTCTTCAGTTACACCGACCGACGGCGTCGGCGCTGAGCGGTCAGCGCAGGCACGCCTCTGTCTTCAGCGAGCGTTCCAGTGTCGAACTTAACGTACGCCGTATACGTGTACAGTGATGTGGAATAGTGATAAAGACAGGAGAAGTGTGTGGATGCATCCGATCCACCCTACAAAAACAAAGATGCCAAAAACAAAGACTACTGCATTGTGGTAACTTATCACCAAACTTTACCATTAATTAACGTGTCGAAATATCTTGTTGACATGCGTAAGTAGTCAAAGGACTTAAGGGAACTTGAGATCGTCATTCCTTTTAACTCTTGTTTCAAACTGTGTCAACTGGATGAAAAATGCCACAAATGCTTCACTATCCTTTTCACTATCGCTTCTTACTTTTTGCATAAATCTAGACACTACTAGTACACTGCAGCAATTTTGAACAATCACAGGATTGGCCACGTCTGTACTTGGCAGCTTCGCACGAATCTGATAAGAGTATACGCTGATAGCTACGCGCGTGGTCTGCAGCGTGGACGGTCTGTGTTACACTAAAACCAACCTTACACTAAAGTCTTGGTCTATGTTAAAATTTATATTCAGTGTATTTTTGTAATATCATCAAATTCACCAATATATCGCCAATATTTTTCCACGAATAATATGGGATTTTCTCGACAATAACTCAAGTGCATTCGATGCCAAGCCGCACCTCAGGCTCCCATTGTTAAAATCTCAATGTAGTCGAGATCTTTCAAAAATATATATTTCTATTTTGTTAACATATTATTAAGGAAAAAATCTATTATTTTTTACAAAACTTAACGTTTATCTATTTGTTTTGATGTAGTAGAACAGCCTCCTGAACCACTTGTTTCCAATTACCAAGTTGTATTCCTTCTAAAGAGGTGTGAAGAGGCCGGCAAGATAGTGATGGTAGCCGGGAGTAGTTTCGACTTCTGACAGTTCTGACCATTATTGGATTGTAATATCAGTTTCCATCAGGTATTGTCACTTTGTCATGCCACAATAAAAAAATATAATAAAACAGAGTTTGTGGCGACCAATGACGTTTTTGTGATAGCGTTATATTATACAACATCAAAGGGCGCGAAAATATAATTATTTCCTGTTATGAAACAAGAATAAATAAACTAAAAGATGGTAAATTAAATTTCATAATTTATTTACAATAAATAAATAAAAAGGGACGAGTTGACTGGTAAGGTAGTGAGAGTGAATGTGTCAGTGTAGGTGATCTGGTGAAGGGGCCTGGGTCAGCGGTGAAGTTCCGGAGCGCCTTCTCGATGACGCGCCTCTCAATGTGTCGAGCAGATAGTTCTTTCGTAGCCCAGAACGGATCAGCAGCTCGGGCCTCCAGATGAAGACTCGTAGGCAGCTTCAGGATATTTCCATCCTAGCTTGAATGTGTTGAAATATTTATTTATTTATTGATGTTGAATTACAGCCAAAATGGTGTCAAGTGACTTTGAGAGTGTAACTTTGAAGAGTTCCCGGGGAGGTCGGCCCCGGGAAATAGGCCTTTTAAGAATTTAGCTAGCTCTGTACAAGCTCCAAAAAGCTAACTTTTGCCTTTGAAGTGATGAAGAATTATTCGGGCGAGGCTTTATATATCTGAAGACGAACTCAAATTTGGAAGTAAATGATTTTAAATTAGAACCCTAAAAATTCAAAAACTACGGAGTTTCAATACTTAAATCTGACAGACAATGAGTAAATTTTCATGAAGAATATTAAGGGTATGTTCCGATATACACTGCGACCACTGAAAAGTATGACGTCAATTTAGTATACTGGAAGCCCGTTCCTTTATAGCTAGTTATACTGGTGACTTTTTAAAACGAAACGCAGTCCAGTATACTGTTAATCCTATTTTTTGGCGCCATTTTCAAATTTGTTAATGCAAGGTGAATATAATATAAAGATTCCCTCTTTTCAAAAGAAAATATTATAAAATTGTGTATAAAAAAAAATAATTTATCAATTAAATCCATCTTATAATAAACGTATTTTTTTTGTTTATTTAGAAACTTATCATTTTCTGATTCTGTTTCGACTGATCACGTGATCAAAAGCACTGCGAGCACCTTACCTCGATATCTCCAGTGCTCACAGTACAAATATGGCGGCAATTTATGACGTCATAAATTTCCCTAGGGTACTGTAGCAGTGTACTGGCAGTCCATAACGGAACGGATTTTTCAGCAGTAAGACCACTGCGCAGTGCTCGCAGTATATATCGGAACATACCCTAAATATAACCATAGCAACGAAGAAAAACTTTCATGTCAAATCTGTCAAAACAATTAAAATTAGCGATAAATTGTGTTATAATCTATAAATAAGTGCTTTAATATGATTAGAATTCGTAAAATGTATAACGAAAAACTATGAAAGCTACAGGTAAGGGTTTACATTAGTGTGTGTAGTAAAAAACATAGGATGAAAGATCGTAGAGATTTGGATAAGTTTATATTACAGAATTTTAATGGTTAGGTATAAAATTGAAGGTCCATAGTTATAGAATGGAAAAAGTAAAGAATATAAATGGAATAACACTAAAAACTTTATCGATATGAGTATAATTAGTGATATGCATCTAAGGAAACGAAAACGGTACGAAAGGTTAGTCACGACTCTCTATATTAAAATTATATATAACTCCTCTTAATTAAAAATGATTAAAAAATCACTTTGTCCCTGGCACTCTGAGATGGGACTCGATCCCATGACCTTTCGCAATCTAGTCTCCTTTATTATATAGCTAAGTGGTCGCCGAACAGAGAGAATTCCGTCTAATAACCAGGCATTGCATATCTCTTTCACTCCTGCGCAAACAGATTGCTATTGCGCTCGCACAGATGTCCTTGAATATTTTGCCATAGTAAAGTGAACCTAAAATGTTTACGACATCTATATATAAGTACGCACTCTCGCAGCTCGGTGGCGTAGTGGATAAGCGCCGCGGCCCGCGATCGTTGTTGTTAAGCAACTTTCGCAAGGGTCGGTCACGGGATGGGTGACCAAAAAATTATTATCTCGAGCTACTCCGTGCTTCGGAAGGCACGTTAAGCCGTTGGTCCCGGCTGCATTTGCAGTTGTTAATACCCTCCAATCCGCACTGGGCCAGCGTGGAGGGTCATGGCCCATCCTCCTTAACCATCCATAAGGAAGGCCTGAGCCCCTGCAGTGGGGACGTAAAAGGGCTGATGATGATGATGATGATAAGTACGCACACAGCTCAAAGTACGAAATTCTTCTAGTTGCACGACTGTTCTTAAGTTGCTACTTCTTAGTAGAGACCTCACTATATTCCTACAGGGTATATACATATTACATAATATCTTCTAACATTAGTGTGAAACAAATAATATTTTTTTTAAGATAATTATAAAGACCTGTATTTAAGTATATTATTCAAATAATAAAGGTATTCAGAGAACAATATTGTGCGAGTCCATCCGTTATATGCAAATAGTATGGCATTGTTATGCAACAATAGGAGCTGTTGAGTTGAGAGCGATCAACAGACGACGACGGTTTAGTTGGTAAAGTTGATGTATGAAATTATCCTGGATATTCCCGAAGTAGTTTTAAAAATAAAGATATATAGAATATGCGTTAGTGCTCAGTATGATATGATTATTTAGATGTGACGTTTCATCTCTTGTCTTATGTGCACCTTTAATGGAAATTTAAGCGTTTCAAACGATGTAAGTTGAAATAATTTGCAACTTGAATTTCAATGCACAGCGCCATCTTTTTACTATACGTAGTAACTTACAGCCTTGATTCATTTATTGTGGCGATATTATTGAAATGACATAAAAGTCTTCTTCTTCTTTTTTTTTAATTAATGGCTTATCTGCGCATTTCGCACAATTCTGCCAATGTCAAGTAAATAAATTATTTTTACATGTAAAATGAAAATGAAACGAATAAAAGATGGCGATGATCCTATACTGTGAAATATTTTACAGTGACTTTTATTGTCAGTTTGGTTACAATGATTAAAGTATATTTCGATGCCCCCAAGCAACAACTCGGTAATCGAAAAATGAAAATTTTACAGGAAAAAAGATTTACTGATTTTAACGAATATCTTTTTAACGAATGGGTCTATTGGAGTCACTGATGTATCTAATGAAAGCTAATTTTTTGCGTAATGTAACTGTGCTATTGATATGAATACTCATTTATTCAAAACCTAGTTATTTGTGAAAAATCATAAAACCTAAAATTTTATACGTTAAATATTACAGTTATAATGATTCCGGGGTTATTGCAGTAAATTTGTAAAATAAAATATTTCGTAACATTTCATTATGGACTTCTACGGCGTTATTTTTTGTTGAAGGGATGGTGCATAATATGTTTTTACGGAGTTATTGTGGTAATATTTTGTATTGTGGTAAACGGTATTGATAAATAACATGATTACTGCTAGGAAATTTCGAACAATAGTATTTTTGTTACCACTCAATACAATTTTTCTTCTTAAGTGTAATTTTAGAAGATATAAACGAAAAATATACAAATTTAGGTGATATTTAATTAACTACAGAATGAAATTTGACCCTCAATTTAACATAAACATTTATTGATGAATATAATCCAAAAAATAAATACTGAGATCAACTATTAATCATATAAAATTAAAATTTATTCATCTTTAGATATATTTTCGTTCTCAGCTTCTGAACAGGACAAAGATTGGTAGAATGCATAGTTACTCTGAGGAATAGCTTCAGTTTTATACAAACTCAAAAGGTCAGTGTGCAAAAGCTTTACTTAAAGGTATCGGTTGTTGGTATGCACGTTGCAACTGCACATTATCCAAGTACACAGCTAAGCCTGTACTCGAGGGGAAGCTGGTATGCTTTCGCCGTTGTCGTCTAGCTGAGGTTGAATGAGTGTAGTTTAAATCAAGTTCTGAATAAGGGTCTTCAAAATTATACTTGAAAAATAACTTATTTGGTTGTGAATCCACAACATTGACCTCCATGACGCCAGTCCAGTAAATCACATTTCTAACTTTGTCGCACCGCCAATACTTGTCTTCTACAAGTGGTTTTAATCGTAAATTTGGAATTGTTCTTATTCTTTTTGACATAGTATTTTTCACCAGTAATCTTTGAATTTAAGTAATACTAAAAATTTGGTCAGGGGTATAAAAAACTTAATTTTTTAATTTATTTCTATGCGTGCATGCATTGAATCTCCCTCGTTTTTACTGTGATCACTTTCAAAAAAACAATGATTAACGAAATTCCGAATAGTTTGGCAGCCTATATATAAAGGGCAAAAATATACCGATTTTTGTTCTGCCCAAGATCCACCCGAATATAATGAATATTTTATAATACCTTCCTCACATTTAGTTTTAAAAAAAGACAACAAAGCACTCCCCATTTCTCAACTGCCGCTCTTAGCATTTTGGTAGTGCCATGCGTAATAATACCCTATTTTTCGAACGGCATTAAAGACGGTAAAATTGTAACAGTGATATTTCTCTTGTAGTGGAGTATGCCAACTTCTGATTGGGGCACACTCAACACTTTTTGAAAGTCAAATATTGCAACTGACTCACAAGCATTGTCGGCTCTTTTTATCTCTCCTATTTTTAAGGCTCTTATTTTTTCTTTTCTCTCTAAATGGAATTTTTGTTTTTCCTCTGGGGTGGCTGTTATAGTATCTTCTGATTGTTCATACATGGAGTATGAAAGGGTCACTGGTCTTTTTTTGGTTTGAAAAATTAGTAATTATATCGAGTGTTAAAAATGGTTTCGTATTGTCGATTTGTTGCCATTACTGCATCTGTGTAATTTTGTTGTGTAAACCATTCAGTGTTAATACGATAATATTGAAGTTTTCTGAAAGATATTCTCGGTTTAAAGTTGCCCTAGTATAATGCGACTGTACTTTAGGAAATAATTCAATGTGCTTTAATAGTGGCTTTTGTTATACTTATTTTATTAGACCTATTATTATGTCTCTCCCGCATATCTTGAAGTCCCTCATCTACATGCATAGTTTGCTGTATAAACCATATAATCGGCTTGATCCACTGGCCCTGCGTAGAGATATTGCTTCACTGTGCATCTTCTATCGCATCTATTATGGGGAATGCTCCGAGGAATTGTTCGGACTCATACCTGCCGCTACTTTCCGCCATCGTTCCACGCGACAAGAAATCCACGCCCATCATTTGATGGTTGGAAGTCCACAACTGTGCGTTTTTTAGAAGTTTCCTGCCTCGCACAGTCAAACTCTGGAACAGTTTGTCGCCAGCGGTATTTCCGGACCGATACGACCTTCAAACTTTCAAGCATAGAGCATATTCGTCCCTCAAAGGCCGGCAGCGCGCTTGTAGCCCCTCTGGTGTTGCAGGTGTCCATGGGCGACGGTAATCACTTACCATCAGGTGATCCATTTGTGCGTCTGCCCCCTACCCCATATAAAAAAAAATATTCTAAAGATTTCTAAAGTATTAAAAAAATGTTTTAAATATTTTCTTTATTTGAATTTGTTTAAAAATAGTAAAAAAATTGCGTGGCCTTGTTTTTACGGTCTAACGCCATTCGTTTAATAGTTCGTGCCTTAATATATCTACTAATATACAACCATTGATGTTCGCGATCAGTCAAACTACAGCTTGTCTATATGACTGACTGAATTTTTGGCTACAACCTTTTCTATATCAGATTCACTATTTTCTGTGTATTCTATATTGATTAACATATTATGAGCAACCTCGACCCTATCCTCATGATTACTTTCTACTGCCTCATTATGCCAGGAATAGTTTAAAGTTTTACGAGCCAGTGTTTTATCAGTGTTACTTTCTGACTGTTCTTCTGGTTTTAATATACTTCCTACGTTTGGAATTGAATGATTATCCTTTTGAATACCTGGTTGAGATAAATCTGAGTTTACTATGTATATTTCTGATAAAGAAGCCACGAAATCTGCGTTGATTAAATACAATGATAGATTTGAAATTATTGATGGGGTTCTAATTTAGAATAAATTTACCATATTTAAATGTAGCGTATAATCATGAAAAAACACTAAACTTAAATAACATTGTAAATATATATTACGGAATACGTAGATTTAAATTCGTTCAACAACAACCCCTTATTGACGTTTGCCAAAAACTTCGTAAAAATTATTTACGCCAATAACCCGGTAAACGCAACTTACCAAAATAAAATATAAATATTTTTTTTTGTACAGACCTAAAGCAGGGTTTTTGACGTTATATTTTTTATTCAAAATTCCCAACAATAAAATTGTATATCATTATATCTTTGTAAATATCATTAGGAAAAATCTGAAAAAAAATGCCAAGGTGTAATCCAGTCCACAGATGCCAAATATGACATAACAGCATAAACCCCATAATAGCACATTACCGAGTTATTGTTTGAGGGGGTCGATTTAATTTCACTGAAAGATATTTGGAATACATACAAAACTCATTTTGAAAGTCAGAATGGTAATTAGGTGTATTTTATAAACATAATAATTAAAAGTTTGAACCATAATTATGCAGGTTCACAGTCAGAATCATGTTTTGGCATACAATATGAGTATTCCTCTAGAGATCTTGCTTATGACAAATAGGTTTCATAGCATTGAATTCCCATCAAGTTAATGGAACCAAAAATAAAGATAATATAAAGCACTTATACAAATTGGATTTGTTGTAATTTTCGCCACAATCCATCACACCAGTTTTCAAAATGTTCTGGCGATGAAATTCATTCGAAAAACCTAAATTTACTCTGTCTTAAAGAAAATAAACATCATTTTATAGATTTTTCCTTTGATGTTTTTACTCGACAATGTATATCTTACATCATAGAGATTTTTTTTTTATGGGATAGGGGGCAGACGAGCAGACGGATCACCTGATGGTAAGTGATTACCGTCGCCCATGGACACCTGCAACACCAGAGAGGCTACAAGCGCGCTGCCGGCCTTGGAGGGAAGGGTTGAGGGGTAGAGGAAAGGGAATAGGGAGGGGTTAGGCCTCCAGTACCCTCACTCACACGACGAAACACAAAGCAAGCGTTGCTTCACGTCGGTTTTCTGTGAGGCCGTGGTATCACTCCGGTCGAGCCGGCCCATTCATGCCAAAGCGTGGCTCTCCCACAAGAATGAAGGAATGGCAGGATACTTTTATTGTACACTATAATTAAATAAAAGGACAATCGATACAATTTTGTGGCACAATCGGCGGACTATTACTATTAAACATTGGCGCCTTATAAATCATACATACTATCTTTTATAGAAGCAAAACTTCAAATCACTACATAGTATAAAAGAAAGTCTCTTTCTCTGTCTTTATATCCTTACGTATACTTAAATCTTTGAAACTACGCAACGGATTTTTTTCAAAAGGAAGGTTTTTATGTATACTACAAGATCAAGCGGGCAAAGCCACTGGCAGAAACCTAGTAAAAATAAATAGGAAATATCCAAACCGTAAAATTCCTCTTGAGATGTGCCAAGGGCGCTCTTCCGCATCATCACTGGATCACTTTATATAAAATATAATAAAAACTTATAAAAAAATAAACAATTAAAACTTGTAACGAGACAAAAATTATGAGCTATTTCGTTTGTTTTTTTTTTGTTAATTTAAACTTCAATAACTACGAAAAAAGTCAATTAGTCGTCAAGTTACTACTGAATTTTGAGCTTTAGGGCAGTAAATCTTAAACCGTTATTCAAACACTTGAAATATGTTAACAATAAAAACAATCTTATTTTAACTCATATGAAAACAAATATGTTATAGTCTCGATTTTAGTTAAAATTTATAGTAAAAGTAATAATGTTTTGTGTAGCTTGATAATTAAATCAGCTAGAAGCATTTAAATAAAATTTCTTGGAAATAAAGTAAGTTTCAAGTACGGTAAAAGTAAAATTAGAAAACGGACTTCCCACTGTAAAACCAAAGTGTGAATGCGGAGTGCATCACAACACATAGATAATTGTATTCGTGCTTCACGCTCACCCAGAGTGCAGGGTAGGATTTAGAATTAATCTCTACTAGAAACGGAAGAACTTCATATTGTCCGGTGAAATCCGGAAGAGAAAATTATTATTATTAGAATTTTCCTTTTTTAAGGTTCTGTACCCAAAGGGTAACACGAGAAAACTGTGACTAAGACTTCGCTATTTGCCTGTCACCATCACCAGGCTATATCTCATGAGCCGTAAAAGTTAGCTGAATTTTTCACAGACGATCTAATTCTGTTGCTGCTTCAACAACAAATATTGAAAATCAGAATAAAACAAATATTTAAGGGGCTCCCATACTACAAACGTGTTTTTTATTGTTTGTTTAATATTGATAACGATAACAGATAGACGGAAGACTGTAAAATAAATAATTAAATTAAAATCAAACAAATATATAAGGGGCCAACAGACGTGTTTTTTATGCTCACTTTTTTTCTATATAAAACTTAATTGGACCTCAAAAAATTTAACAAAAAAGAATTAGCCGCTTCAATCTTAAAAATTCTCGAGATCTCTTTGAAGTTTGCATACCAAATATAGCAGGAAAAGCAATTAAATATTGAATAATTAAGTATATTAGCCGTTAATAAACCGAGAGAAATCAAAGTTAATCGCAAGCGTACAAAGCCGGTTAATGAAAGCGAACAAAAAAATGCGTTCAATAAATAAGCCATAATTTAATAGTTAATAAACCGTAAAAACTAAATATTAATCGCGAGCATATAACCTCGCTAATAGTTAACTATAAAACCAAGTAAATAATAAAATGAAACATTCTATCATCAGTAAATTAATCGTTTACAACGCGTGAAAGTAAAAAGATTAACCACGGCCGTATAAACCGGTTCATCTGATAAGCGGTTAATTTAAAATTGTTATTCATATCTTTCATACAAATTATTAGCTGCGATATAATGAACATTCCTTCATAAGTGAATTATGAAGGTTTCCAAAAAAAAAAACGGAATTGTATCATGAAAAATTCTTTCAAACTCTATGAGCATTCTACACAACCTATCCCACTAAGCAAAATATTTTAAAAAGTATATTTAAACGAATACAAACTTTTAAATATATACATTTTGTCTTTCAAGTCGGTCCCTGCACGAATACCTATCAAATTGCAGTGAACGTCTACAAACGATCAAGGAACTGAATTCACTTATATTTGAATAGATTTGAATGAATATAGAATCGTTTATATCGTGTCGATTCAGCCTCTATAGTTTGAA